ATGCACCTTCCATAATGTTGATGGCCTATTTATGGAATTGACAGCTCAAATCTCTCATCCCACAAGTCACCCTGATCAACGGTCCATATTCAATCTCAATAAAGAGGTAAATTATGAGAAACCCTAAACCTAATTTTTCACTATAAATAAGGGTGTACCCTCGCCTATTCTCTACACCTTCTCTCTCCCATAACTCTATCTCATCACTCTCCTTAGGGTTTCTCTCTCTAACCCTCTCTCTCTCTCTCCGAAGACCCATAGGGGGTACGCCCCAACCCTATGCCTCATTCTCTCTTTCTCTCTTGACCTAAAGATACTAAGGGTTGGGAAATTAAGGTTAAACCTAAATATTTTTGGGGTTAGGGTTTTGTAAAGATTTAAAGGTACTCACTAAGTTTGGCCGAAATTAGCTTTCTCAGTTTGAGATTGAAGCTAAACTACTGATCCCATGCCATCGGATGTTGGTGACTCGGTATGGGATGTAATAAGCTCAGTTGAGGTAATCTCCAGCATCTTCTACTTTTATTTCTTGTTATTTTATCTTTATATTCTCAAGCATAGTGTTTAGTTGTATAAATGACATTAAGTGGTTGAGTTTTATTTTATTGTTATGTTGCTTTTATTTTGAAATATTTATTGATTGTAATAAGACCATCTATAGGCGATCTTTTTGCCAAAACAAAAGGGGTGATTTTAAAATAAAATTTTAAAAAATTATATTCACCGGCAAAAGGTCACATAGGTCTTTCTTTCACGCAAGACATGAGAAGGTTGCAAAAATTATATTCATCAGCAAAAGGTCACATAGGTCTTTCTTTCACGCAATACATAAAAGGTCACAGCAGTGTTAGCAACAGCGTCTTTCGAGCGTCACCAAACAATAGCAACATCAGGCAGTGGGCAGCAACGTAGCATGACCATAAATCTGTTTGACGACAAATCTGAGTAGAATGATCGTTACCCGCTAGAATATACAGCAGCCGGAATGCGACAGATGTCCTGTCGATCAGTTGTAGCTCATTTTTAAAAAGAATCCCAAAAAGAAAAACAGATCAAAAAGTCGAAAACGACTTGGCAGAGAGATAAATCCAAGAGTCAAAACACCACTTAGCAGATAGTTGATACACGACTCAACAGAAGTTGCACGAACTAGGTGAGAAACATACCCGTCTTGAAAATCGGCAACAATGCTTCAGGGATGAGAAATGGATACAGCTAAGATGAATCTTGCTTTGATATCATGTGAAGAGTCTCAAGTTTCCCTGTGTCAATTAATTGATATGAATATAAAAACTTGTCTTTTATAAACAAATTATATATGACAATAATAAAAACTAAATCGTGGACACCTAAACTATACTCAGGCTTACCATAAATATTTTTCTTTACCATACATACAATGTACACTTTCATTTCATAACCTCCAAAACAAGTGTGGTGGTTATCAAATCAAATCAGATAGCAGCTAGGAGACGCCCTAGGGGAGCACAAGGAACATCTTTATGTAATTAATTACACGATTGAGTGGAACTTTTTATAGATTTTAGATTGTATTATAGTCATTTAGAATGGACTATATCGGCTGGTTGGACTGTTGACTGGTGCCTCAGCAGATCTGATCCATAATAAAAAATGAGAATGTTAAAAACCGGTCAAATTTAATCTTTGACCAATTTTGGCTAGTTAGATGGGTCACGTTTGACCAATTAGTCTGGCTAAACAAATTGGATAATTTTTTAAAGGGAAAATTACGTACACATATGTTATAGTTTCCGTTATTATAGCTCTACCGAATAGTTTCCGTTATTACCATCGTGTTCATTTTTTTCTTGTCAAAACGAAAATTTAAAAAAAAGACGATTTTACCTTTTTACAACAATCGAATTCAAATTTAAAAAAAAGATGATTTTACCTTTTTAAAGCAACCGAATTCAAAGTATTTTTGGTTGTTCAACAACCGAAAACTAGGCCAATTTCGATTTTTAAATAACCGAAAATTTAAAATTTTCGGTTCTTTAAGAACCAAATTTTTTTTCTCTCTTGTGGGTCTGTGTATCCTCTCTACCTCTCTCTCTACATTACATGGGTAAAAATGATTTTTTTAAAAACTCTCTCTCTCCCCTTCACCGAGTATTTTTTTTGGGTAAGTTCATAATCCCTGTGATTTCTCCTAAATTTAAGGGCTCAAACTAGCTATTCTCTGATAATTTTATCAGATAACCATGACTTCAAAGATGTAGAGAAAGAATAGGCCACAAGATTTCTTCTAATCTCATGATCCCTAAGATTTTTTATAAATTTAGGGGCTCAAACTAGTTGCTCCCTTTTGATTTTGTCGGATAACTATGACTTGAGAGAGGTAGAGAAAATACGCTACAAGAGAGAAAACATTTTTCGTTTCTTAAATAACCAAAATTGGTGTATTTTCGGTTGTTGAACAATCGAAAATATTTTAAATTTAGTTGTTCAATAACTCAAGGTCGTCTTTTTTTTTAAATTTTCATTTTGACATGAAAAAAAAATGAGTACGATGGTAATAACGGAAAGTTTTCGATAGAGCTGTAATAATTTCAACCGACAATTATGCTGATTGTGATTGGACCATGCCATCATTGATTTTATGGCCATTCTAATTATAATACCTTTTCATAATATTTGTTCAGAGACGTATGCTTATGTGTCCCTTAGGAAGGCTCGAGATTTGTGACATGTAATACTTTTATGGGCATGTTGGATGCATTCAGTGTTACTGATAATCTGACTAAAATTAATCATGACAATGAATTATACTTTTTGGAACCAGTGAAGGTGAAAGGTTTATGAAATACAGGATCTGGAAAGGTTTATGAAATACAGGATCTGAAAATGAATTGGAACATTGTGCAACTATAATGGAGTTTCAGACCTTGTTATCTTACAACTGATGGAATTATGTGTTTGATAAGCGGCAGTTTTTGAAAGTGGGACTAAAGTGTCTCACTTTGATGTATGATATTATTATGTGGAAGCTGTAAAGTGGAAAGGCGGCTTTCTACGCAGCTCTTTTTCAATGTTAAAATGAATTTATTTTTGGAAGACCTCCCTTCCATAAAAAATAATGGAAGTGCTGTCTTTCATAATTTGTGGAGAGTCCCTTCCACTCCAAAAAACTCCATGTACCAAACGCACCCTAAATGAGTTGGAAGGTACTTAGACTCCACGAGATGCAGCTGATGAAGGAGTATAGAAGAAGGAGAGCGATGTGGTCTTTTCAGTGAAGTCCACTTATAGGCTGTTGTTCCACGATCGTGTTTGATGTCAAGAAATAGACTGACTAAGATTTGGAAATGATCTATTTCTCATAAAGTGTAAGCATTTCTACGGACTCTAATGCAAAAGTAAAACTCAATTTGTGGACAATCTTAGAAAAAGAGGTAAATATATGGTCAATATTTGCTTGTTATGTAAAAGCATTTCTACGGACTCTAATGCAAAAGTAAAACTCAATTTGTGGACAATCTTAGAAAAAGAGGTAAATATATGGTCAATATTTGCTTGTTAGGTAAAAATGATGAAGAGAATAGAGATCATTTGTTCTTACATTGTCTTTACTAATTGTTGTAAGTGCGGTCCTTCTTATTATTGGGGTATCTAATGATATTGCCACAAAAAGATGTTAATAAATTGGAGCACTTATGCATTCAAAGGCTGCCCAATACGGGGAAAGTTACATGGGATATTTTAGAGTAGTTACATGGGATATTTTAGAGTAGTTTTAACTTGGAGAAAGTTAAAAAGAGGATTTTACACACTACCTGGTCTTGGTTTTCTATCACAAAGGGAGGGAGATGGTGTCTCCAAAGTTGATATCATTTTGAATTTTGATCACCCTAACCGATCAAAACTAGAACCGGCCATCGGTTCCAAACTAACTGAGCGGTTAGCTGTTAGATTGGGTAATTTTGCGAACAATGCTAAATACAATCAAACTTGTCTCAATTACTTGTACTTGAAAAGAAATTGGAAAACTAATGTGAACATCAATGTTCGCAAAAAATGGGCAGATCGACCTGGACCGACCCGAGTTACTTGGACCCGCCCAGTGGTGGGTACACTTGAGCCCAGTTTTGGTGGTCAAGTTTGGGATCTTAAAAAAAATTCAAAAAATTATTAAAAATCCAAAAATAAGAAATTTACTCTTATATACCTTTTTATGTTTTCTATCATTTTGATAAACATTGGAAAGTATTTTGGCCATGAACATTTACTTTTTCATTTTATATTCTTTTTTGGCTTATTTTTAAAATACCTTTGGTCACAAATTAATTTATCTCAAAATCTATTGTTTCCCTACATTTCTTACTTCATTCCAACGTATTTTGTTTAATTTTACTTTAAACATATTTTTGAGATTTTTGTTACATTCTTTATTATTATTTTTAACACCTTTTAACCTAGCCAATACTTATCCGACCCTGTCCAAGTCACTCCGCCAAGACAAGGCCGGGTACCGCGCCCTAGTCGTGGTTTCCTAGAGACCTCAATATGCACATACATGATGTCAAACGAGCGAGAGAGGAGTCAGATAAACTCACCCAATTGGGAAAAAAAAATAACAGTAAAACGTAATACTAGAAAGCCAGGATCCAAGATCCTTGTAAAACCTTATTATTCAAAAACTCAAATCCAATGGAGCACTAAAAAAAACAATTATTGTAAAAAAAAAAAAATTATAAATAGAATTTGATAATCGTTTACCTCACGTTTGGTTTGTGTGAAAATGTTTTTTAAAAAATATCTTTATATGAACAAATTCTATTATGCGGTCAAGTATAAGAATATTTTTACATCAATTAGATATTAATTAGGATCAAACGATACATTAAGACCAATTGGTATAAAAATATTTCTAATCGGCATTAGAGAAATTTTTTTATAGAAAATATTTTCATAATTTAACAGAAAAAAAAAAAAAAAAAAAATTCACGGTAACCAAACGTGGGACTAAGCTTTGATGGCCTTCATTTCGAGACCTGAGACGAACTCCTGATTTCCTCCTCCAAATTTATAGCGGCGCGCGCAGAGCCCTTCCAGTGGCTGCTCCTCCTCGTGTCGAAACCATTCACAGGCGATCTGCCCTCCAGCAGCCCCTCCTCCTCCTTCCCATGCCCAGCCCCCACAACACCCCCTTTATTACTCACATTTCCAAACACAAACACACCAAACCCTAAAATTGAAGCAAGGAAACTGCAGGAAAAAGGTATGGTCACGCCGGAAAATGACGTCGCGATCGTGAACCCGGCACAAGTCCCGGCCATCTTTACCCACGCGAAGCACGCAGAAAATGCACCTTCCTTTCCGGCGGGTGAACAGTCTACTAGCAGCACCCTTCCGTACGTATGTAAGATCCCGGCGGCCACTCCCTGAACCATTGTGAAGAAGAAGAGGTGCTCTCGATGCCATGTTCGATTCTGGAAGTAGAATCCGGTGCCGGAGGTGACAGCTCCTGCCAGAAGCCCGGCCACCTGCATTTTCATCGCGTCGGACTTTATTGAGAGCTGGAGATAACGCAGTAATGGAAGGCTGAAAGTAGGGATGAGGAAGTAGATTAGCCAGGTATAGAGGATGTCGTGTGCTTCGTAGCATAGCTTTCCTTGGAGGTGGATGGAGGTGGCGGCGAAGATGCACATGGTCGCGAAGCTCGACAGGAAGACCCCTGCGAGTGTTCCGACGGCATGGGGGTATTTTCGGGGTGCAAAGGCGTGAGATGCCGACCATTTGGGGGAATTCTGAGCAGCTGGAGGCCGAATTCCAGAGAGGTAGTGGGCAATCCCGACTAACCATATTATGCCGGAAAATATGGAGACGATCCAAAGGTTTGAGAACTTGTCAGAGTGACCGGCCATGCGGTAGGCGAAGGAGGAGATTATGGCAGCACCGATTCCTCCGGCAGCGGTGCCATACACTGATATCCGACTTCCTGCAGATTTTCTCATGGTGAAGAGCTCATCGCCAGCAATGTTGCCTGTGGCGCCTCGTATCATGAGGCCGAGGTGGCGGGTGTGAGCAGCAAGGCCGAAGGTGGCACCGCTAGATATGGCGGAGATGTAGAGGGGGAAGGGCCACACGCTGCGGAAGAAGCCGGTGGGGAGGCAGAATAAGGCACCCAATGCAGCACTGACACCAAATTGGAGGTGGTGAAGGGGGCCGTGGTCGAGAAAGTGGGCGGAGAGGATGAGTAGTGGGGCGGTGATGACGGTTCCGGCGGTCCATGAGATTGCCACCCAGTTCAGAGCAGATAAATGGAGGTCTGAAATCTTTAATGTATGGTGAGTTAGTGATTGGTACCTGCCAATTCGCCATTGAAGAGGAGAGTGAGCTTACTCTCGAGCTTCCACAGAAAGGCCAAAACGCTTGAAATGGAGCCTAGTTTCACTTTTTTCATCAAAATTTGATTTAACCAATGCCTTGAATCTAAAACAAAAATTAAGTTACACCAATACCTCTTAAAACTTTAAAATCGATCGTTGACTAGTTACACGGACGGACAGGTTAAAATTAAATTGGGCCATGTAATTTATATTTTTTATTTTTTTAAAATTTAATCTAATCAATTCTGGCGAACTGATTTATTATTAGACCACACCTTTTACTGATTTTACTGGTTTGTATCGGCTAAAGTAGGGTATTAACCAAAATTTTTCAGTTTGACATTGAAGGGAGAGGGTAATCTGCTTAGTCTCCCTAAAATGGAAAAGCTTAATACACACTAACACTCATAGTGTCTGCCTCTCTCTCTCCCTCCCTCATGAATCTACTGTTCCGTAAGAATAATTTTTACATTCGGACACAAAAAATATTAGCAAAATACTAAATGGGTCAATTTTGGACGATAATTATAAAGTCAATCGACCTATATTTTTTTATTTTTCCAAAATTACCTCTTCGAATGCCTTTTGATTTCTTTTTATTTTTTTTATTTTTTTTGTTAGTAGGGCAATGCCAAGTCTATAAAGCAGTACAAGGTTGGCATCCTCGATCCGTTTTATTTCTCAGCAAACAAATGAGCTAATGCGGTCTGAGAATGCCAACCTTGGACTACCCTGATGAGCAATAGAAAAAGTGGTTCAAGAATGGGCAGCTCGGACTGCCTTTGAAAGCTTAACAAAATAGGTCTTTGCGGTCTAAGGATGCCAACCTCAGACCGCTTTGAAGGGCACCACAGAAGGTGGTCTGATGATGCTAATATCAGACTGACTCGACACTGCCCCAAACATTTAGGCATATCCTTACTATAAAAAAACTCAAAAAAGAAAAAGAACAAGCGGCAGTATGATGGTGTATCCTTGGAGTGAAAGGCAATTTTGAAAACAAAAAACCCTCAAGTTGACCGACCCTCCTTATAATTTTAACCCAAAATTGACTTACGTCCAATTTCAGTATTTTTTTTTGGTGCCCTTACGTAATTCACTCTTTTCGTAAAATTTAGTATGAGATGAGATATTATTGGCCGGTTAACTTTAACCAGACTAAATCCGGAATTTCGGACCTCGTTTTGAAGAATGAAAAGGATGTTTGCGACTTACAGTTCCGTCTCCTTTACTGAGCAATGTAGACTCTGCAAATCTCCATCTACTGATGGTTTTGGGAGCATTTGGCCCACCATGAGAGAGAAGACAATAGGGATCAACACCGCTGGAATGAAATGAGAGAAAAGGTTGTAAGCATACCATGTAACCATCTCCCGCTTTGATGCCTTCTCTTCTACTCCTGCGTACTCCCTATAAGATCGATTTGCTCTCTCCATATTTTCTGCCAAATCAGGACATTTTGAGGGCGTTGCTTCTGCATCCATGGCCTCCATTTCTAGAGAGAGAAAACTTTTAACTTCAATGGAGGTTAGTGAAGCATAATTTTACACAATTGCAGGAATTCTAGAGAGAGAGAGAGAGAGTACTAGGAGGTGTGTTAGTAATTGCAAAATAGTCAAAGCATATAAGTAACGTACATGAATAAGGATATCCTATGGCATGGAGAGGAGAGACCTAAGCATATAATGTCCTATGGGAAATCAAGGGTGGCAATGGGCCTGGTGGGTCGGCCCAGTACTAAAGAACTAGGTCCTCGGTCATGAAATGTGGGCTGAGGACCAGGTCTAGGCCAGGCCAAGACCGGCCCCTATTTGTTCATATTTTTTGTTTTGTTTTTCTTTAATTTTATCCGGATTGGCCCTGAGGGGCAGTGCCGGCTCTCAAGGGAAAGGGGCCGGGCTAGGGCTAGGGCAAGGGTGGGCCGGCCCTTTGCGAGCCCAGGTGATGCATGAGAGAGATTTTGCGTAGTTTACAATGAAAGTCTTTGGTTTGTCCAAATATGTGCCACTTGCTTTGGTACTACTAAGAAGATAGGTCCATGGTATTATTCTCAAAGTCCTTGTTTATGCCAATAATTAATAATCTTGCCTTGTTCAATCATTAGATAAAGCTTGTAGCACCGTTTTGTCGAATGGGCCTTGGATATTGGTGGAGAGGAATCGACTTTGATTTTCCTTGTCTTTGCTCCCAAGCACCAAAGATATATGCTCTATGATGATCACTAAGTGGAGGACATGATGGACCGTACAAGCTATCATCTCTTAATGGAAGTTCCTGATTGATGGGGCTTCCAACTATCTGAGTCCGACCCGAATTTCGGGTCGGGTTAGAGTCCCACCCGAGCCTGCAAATTTGTATGTGTGGGGCGGCCCAGCGCGAGTGAAGACATTAAGGCCCATGGCGGGGTAGGTAGGGATGAGAAATGAATCCTCTTGTGCCAATGAGATGAGCTCTTCTATAAACATTGTGTTATTAGGGTATCACCCAACAGCCAACTGTTGAGGGATATTGTCCAGTCCAAATATGTCTGATCATCAGTTACTAGATCTTAAAAAATTTAAAAATATATCAATAATAATTTAAAATTATGAAATAAATTTTAAAATTACCAACTTTATTTAACCGGTCAATGTTATCATAATTGACCCAATAAAATAGGCAAAAATTGGTCCAACCTTGGTTTTAACTTATTGAACATTGATTTTAACTCCTGGTTTTTGCTTTGAATGAGATAGGCTGAGCTTCTAGCTTACATACCAATTAGACAGTCTGGTGCTAATAAGTATGTTTATAAATTAATCCCATCTAGGGCTAGCAATGGGCTTAGCTGACCCCAAATAACTAGGATAAAGCTTGGATGATGATGAGGTCCAGCAACGGGCTGAAATAGGTCTGCTGGGCCAACCGTGACCTAACCTAACCATCTCAAAGCTAGGCTATGCCAAATAAAAATATAAAAAAAATTAAATAAAAAGAGGCCAAACAAAGAACCAGACCATCCATGGCTCAAGCCCACCCCAGCCTTATCCTCAGGCCAATTTTACCCGGCCCTACATATTTTGTGTCCCATACCCTAGTTTTTTAGAGTCAAACTGACCGGGCTAGGCTACCCCATAGCTGCCCTTAAAGCCATCCCCTCGAGTTTATTGCTTCTCGTTTGTGTCCACTCTATGTAGACACTCCGTTTTCGCTAGATGAGTTTCAAGATATTCAGAATGCAAAACTTAGAATCTGAACTACAAAAATACTGTAGTCACCCTAGACCCATTTCTGCTAAAACCCATAGGGAACAGCCCAAATTGCAGTGCAATACCTTAAGATCCTAAAAACGACCCTTTAGAGTCCAGTTCAAACACTATAACACCTCCCAAGTAGGTAGTTTTATTTTGTAATCATAGTGACCTTTCAAACAACTCAAGAACACAATTTTGACATTTGATTTGAAACATACATGACCAATACCAAACACAATTTTGACAAATGATTACAATATACATCTTTCATATTAATCTGGTAGACAATATATATTTTCCTTTCACACTCTCCCTCAAACTTAAGATGTTCTAAAATAGAGTAGCCGGAGTTTGAATATTAAGTTGCGGAAACGAGCAGTTGGATCTTCATGTGCATAGCGACCAGTAGATGTAGTGGTTGTCATGCTCAGATTGTTTGATAAAAAAGCATAGAGGAACAACAGAACAGTGCATGCTCAAGCAATGATAAATCAACAAGCCTCGGAAATAGAAGGCTCGAATAGAGTAGGTTTGAGCAACAGATTGAAACTTATGATCTTCTATAGAGACAAAAAAATAGACAAGTCAATTGAGAAAACAAAATGACACTTGAAAGAGCCAACGAAACTCAGTGCATATCCACGACGGATTGAGAGTCTCAGGTTTCTCTGAAGAAACTCAGTGTCCTTTGAACATATGAATGTACAAACTTGTCTTTTATAGACAAATTACATTATGAGAAAAAATAAAAATAAATCACAGACACCTAAACTATACCTAGACTTGCCATAAATACAAGATAGTGTATATACTTTTTTATATATACTGATTACAATATACACCTTCCATATTGACTCGATAGACAATATATACTTTCCTTTCATAAGAAGATGGGAGAAGAGATAAGAGGAGAGCGAGATCAGAGCGGATGAGAGGGGAGTGAGGAGATAAGATGAGAGAAAGATATAGAGAGATTACGGGAGCTGAGAGAAGAGAGAAGAGATGGGAGAGAGAGAGAGATAAGAGGTGAGAGAGATGGAGATAATTGGATATGGTTGTACAACTTGTCACGAAGAGGAGAGATGGATAAGCTTGGGTCTGGTTTTAGGGTTCGGCACAATGAAGAAAGGGGCTTGTCCGTGCAGATAGAGGTTTTAAGGCTTGCCGCGATAAAAAAAGGGGCTTGTCCATGGAGATGAAGATGAAGATAAAGAAAGGGGCTCGGGCTCGGGCTCGGGCTCGAGTGACTTAAAACAAAAAAAAAAAAGACTTAAAACAAAAAAAGGTTCCGAAGGATTGGGTTCCTAGCCTCCACCCCAAGGGTGCATTTGTTTTTATGAAAGATTTCTTCTTAAAAAAGAAATCCTTCTAATTTTTCAAAAGTTCTTCATTTGACGTATAGTTTCCATCTAAAAGTTTATAAAGTAATATTCTAATAAAATTCCTATTTTTTTTGTTAAAACATGAACGATTAAGTTCTTGAAAAGGGTAGGAACTCAATATTTCATAACGTTTTTGTTGATCACTATTTACTATGGATAATATAAATACATAATATTAGTATTATTAATAAGATTTGATATTGTATAATATAATATTATATTATATTATATATTATATTACATTATATATTATATATTTATATTTATTTTATTAACGTAATTTATATTATATAATATATGTAATATATAACATTAATATATATTTATATTATATAGATCTTGCATTATATTATATTTTATATAATCTATAATAGTATTTACTATGTTATATATAATATTTATATTATTATATTATATATTAATTTATAAATATCTTACATTATACTAAATATTATATAAATTTTATATTTATTATATTACATATAATATTATTATATTATATTGTATATAAATATAATATATTGTATAATATATTATACTATTAATATATTATAAATATAATATAAATATATAAATACCTTATATTATATTATAATAAATATTATATTATATGTTATCTATAATACAAATATACATTAATAAAATATATTATATTATATTATATATTATGTTATACATATTATATATGGGTGCGGTTTGTATAGGGCCTAGGCTCTGAGCAATCCAATTAGAGCCTACCTTCGAATAGTATCGAGAAATGTAGTTTCAAAACTGAAAATATTTGTGACAACCTTAAAATATATTTTCATTTTTATTTATAAAGTTTAAAGCTTAAAAAATAGTGTAGATCAAGCAGATCTATGAAAACTTGAAAATCTTGAAAATTGATGGTCCAAAAATGCATTACAAAATATTCTATTTTCAAAACTTGAAATCTATTTTTTTTTTCATGTCCATGCATCTTGATGTCGAGATGATCAATTTGAGGATATTTGAGCATCAAAACAACTTTTTCTAGTGAAAATTTTGATCTAGGCTCTAATTTGATTGTTTAGAGCCTTGGCTATATATAAACTTTTCCTATTTTATATATATATATATGATATCAAACACATCACTCATAACTTATTTAAGCATTTCAAAACAAAACATTCAATTTTCCATAAGATATCTTTAAGAAAACAAATGCACTCCAAAGGAACTTAAACTCTCCCGTTTTACAAATAAAATAGAAAGTTTGGGTTCTTGTAGCAGTTCCTGTGTAGCCAAATGTAGAATTACTTCACTATTAGAAACGTTTACTTTCTTAAATAAAACATTCATGCAAACAAACACGCCTTTATAGTTATCTTTTATTTTGTTAGTATTATATATTTTTATTCAATTTTATGAAAATATAAAAATATGTTAGTCTTATCAAAGTTTTAGGGAAGATCCTGCTAGCCGACCATTCACAGAGGAGAGATTGTAGAATTGATCCATGAGTATTGTAATTTGACTGGACTCATGTTTTCAAGTAATTGAAGATTCATTATTAAAGTTTTATTTAGTTTGTACTAGCATTTGGAGATGATACATGGGTAATTATTATAGAGCGCGATAACACATGGGTCCGAGCTATGTTTTAGTAATGGGTGTGGTTTTTATAAAGTTGCAACTTTAAACAATCCAACTAAGGTCCACCTTCAAATTTTATCATAATATATAATTTTGATATAAAATGTTCTGAGGATTATTTCAAAATCTATTTTTATATCTAATTATAAAATTTTAAGTTTAAAAAATAGTTAAAATCAAGTAGATCTATAAACATATGAAAATATTGAAAATGGACGGTGTAGATAAAATGTTGTAAGTTGCACTATTTCTGAGACTCAATTTTTTTTTTTTTTTTTTCATAGTCATACATGTCGATGTCGAGATGATCAATCACATGGTTTTTCAACATTAAAACAATCTTTTTTGATGAATTTTGAGGTGCATATGTAGTTCTACATTTTAAAGTTGCAACCTTATATAAATTTTTTCGTTTAGTAATAATTATACATATACTCTTACGAGCAAGTCATCGTAAAGTTTTAAAATCGCAAAGATAGGAAGATCAGTCGCATATATTTTATACGTGGGGCACCATGCATATTTCCTTTGGTTTTTAGTCTCTAAATAAACCATGAAAACCAATGCTGTCAAAATTCGCTTTGGAGTGTTTTTTGGTTTGGTGAGAAAAACGAAGTAATTTGGTGTTTCGGCCGATATAGAAAAAGACTTCAGATTTTTTTTTAAAAAAATAAAAATAAATAAATTATATATTTATATATATAAATAATGAATATATATATGTATCTTTGCTTCAGCCGAAACAACTAAAACTTCGGCAAAATTGGCCTGAAGTTGACCAAAGCGATAACACCGAGCTTTGCTTCCGTCTTGGCCTAAAAATCGAAGGCTTCGCCCTCTATGGCCAAAATTAAGCAAATTTGACAACAGTGACAAAAAACAGTCGGTAGCACGTGCTTTTTTACGGTGAGGAACGACACTCATTCTGGCACTCCATTAGTAATTCAATCTCCACCATCTTTTACGAATATGAAGGGATAAGATTAAAGATTTAGGTTAGATGGATGGTGCAGATCAACCTGGAAAAGTAACAATACATCCATGACTGGTTTGGCTCGCCTCATTTTTTGATTCAATCTGCATCGTCCATTCACAGTTGGAGATTAGTCACAGGGTTGAACAAGGAGGAAGGCGAGTCATATCTTCTCTCCCATACTGTATCAAATCTCTACCGTCCACCGGGGAAAGCGCTCGAATCCTAGCCGTCCGATGGGACTAGGTAACATATTTGAAGGAGCCTGCTATCAAGGGGAAGCATTAAAAGGTCGCTTTCCTACGCGTTTGGTATCTGCTAAATACACGTAAATGCAGATAATATGAGCATACGTGGCTCATTTTAGTCCGTTAAAATACATATAGCCATGATCGATTGTTATTTTTGCAGGGATATGGAAACGTGCAGCTCTAATGATCCTCAAATTCTCGGGTTCTTCCATTGAGATAATGGACGGTCCTGATCAAAGAAGTTAGACCTCCTAGCTTATCTGAACCGTCCGTCTAACTCGCTCTCTGCCAATAAGGAATACCGGGTGAAATGCCCTACACATTTACCAAATATACTAGGAGCTATTCTCTAATGAAAGTAATGCTTTTAAATATTTTAACATATTTACGCACCAGCCTCAAAAACTTGGAAAAATATTTTTTATGATGGTGATTTTAATATATTTCTACAACCAAACGATAAATATGTTAACTCCCATATGCCACTCAATTTTATTTTCTCGTTATAAATAATTTAAGTTTTTTTTTTTCTTTTGATATATTAACTATAGGAATGGAGGTGCACATTAAGTTAAGACATCCGCCCCCTAACCACTGCAGTTCAAAAAAAAAAAATCTACCCCCAATCCCAACCCCATTTCAAAAATTTCAAGTGATTTTATATAATAGTTAAAAATATAGGAGTTCATGACACATTGCACAATATTTTCAGCCACACAATTAGATGAAAAAATAAATTCAGTTGTTGAATCCACATGTAGGGAACATTAGTCTTAAAAAAATTCTTAAAAAATCAAAATAAGACAGATACCTAAAAATAAATGCAAATAGAAGTTTGATAATTAAGGAAGTGAGATTACTTGTGAGCATGTTATTGACTTGACTCGAAGTTCAAACAAATTTTTTTTGAATTCGTGACACACTTCAAGTAATCGAAATTGACATCTAACGGCTAAGAATAATTATAACTACTTTATAAGAAAGATAAATGGTCTCACGTTATACAATTTCATAAATATTCCCTACTAACCTACCCAAAAAGAATAGTAGGTAAATATAATTACTATGAGACGGTACGTTATAAGACTATTATCTTTCTTACCGTGATGTTACAATTACTACACGCTATTAGATATCAAATCAAATGGCTTGAGGTGTTCACCAAATTTTAGAAACTTTTTTTAGAACTTTGAGTTTAGTCAATGACATGCTTACAATCACTCGATTTGAAAGTAAATCAATCGAGTTCTCTTTGTATACTTTTCCAATTACTATAATAAATTAACGTTTCACTTATTACTCCTTCTAAAAGATCAAATAAATGTGTGTTTCATAACTTGAGAATAGCATGAAAATAGACAAAAAAAAATTAATAGAAAGATAACACTCACAAACAAATGTAAGAAGCATTACGTAGAGTAATTATTTAGAAAATATAAAAGTTTATATAGAGCTTAGGCTCTAAACAACCAAATTAGAGCCTACATCAAAAATTTCACTAGAAGAGGTTGTTTTGATGCCCAAATATCGTCAAATTGATCATATTGACATCAAGATGAATGGACTTGAGAAAAAAATAGATTTCAAGTTTTAGAAATATTGCATTGGATAATTAATTTTTAAGTTATTAAAGTTTTTATAGATCTGCTCGATCTACACTATTTTTAAAGCTTTAAATTTTATAATTAAGTATAAAAATATAATTTAAAGCTAGTCAAAGATTTCTAGTATTGCAACCACATTTCTCAACACTATTTGAAAGTGGGCTCTAATTTGATTGTTTAAAGCCTCGGCTCTATACAAACCGCACCTTTTAAAAAATAGGTTTGAAACTTATATCTTGGGTCGTTAAGAGAAATTGAAGACAAAAAATTGTATACTCAAAGAAGAGAGAACATGCACTACCCAATGCTTCCCTAACATATTTGGAATGTTTTTCTACATTTCCTTTATAAGAGAAACAATCCTAAGTAAAAAGAAAAACTTATGCCTTTTTTATCGATATTTATTAGGAAAAAGGCAACCTCTATGGTATAGAAGTAAGGTGCATCTCACAAAAATCCAGCAGGGAAGAGTATTTTGAAGTTGGAAAGCCTTTCGGGTGATCATCTCAACCGCAAGACAAATGGATATGAAGGACAGAAAAGGATTTCAAATCCTAATAATAGTGCTCGTTGTAACAAATTATTTGGGTTGTCTATTTTTTAGATTTTCAAATGTTTATAGATGTGCTCGATAAATATCATTTTTTGAGATCTTAAATTTCATAGTTAAGCTTGAATATAAATTTTCTTATAAGGCTTTTTACACTAAAACTACATCTTTTGGCAAAATATGGGTTGTCCAGTTGTACTACGGTAAATCAGGTGGAGTTTATAGGTCTTTTACAACGACTTAACATCTTACAAGAAAGGCATATTACATGTTATTATATTGTGGAAGGGGATTTCCTTAACATTATCAATTCGTATGATGAGTTGAGAGTTGAGAAAACCTGGATCTATTTGATTGCAAATCATGGATATTTGTAGTTCTATCGAGATTTCTTTAAACATGTTTACAGAGAAGCTAATGAAGTGGCCGATGGTAAGCCAAACAAGGTGTCACTTTAGTTGAGTTAGCTATTTCCGAGGAATTGTTATAGTAAACTTTTGTATCTTTAGTCATTTATCTTTTTCAATAAAATTAAGTAATATTGTAAAAAAAATATAGAGGTGTATGGCACTTCAGTAGTATAAGGTGGGCACCTTGTACAAACCTTTCCTTATTTATACCATGCCGAAATATTGTCATTTGCTTGGGTTATCGTTATTGAGTTTTCCTTTAATGGATGGAATACATGCATTAAAATTGACCCAAATCTAAATTCCTTGAATTTCTATACATTAATCATCTAAATCAACTTGGTTAGGCTATTGGACTAGAATTATGAATCTCATGCTCTATCTGTCTGAATTTATTTAATTTTTCTATTTCATTTTTAAGAGGATAAAGTTTGTATAAGGTGGCAATCCTTTGCTATTAAAATAAGATGCACCTCAAAAATCCTTTAGAAGAGAGTGTTGTAATATTAGAAAACGTTTCGATTTGATCATCTCGACTTCAACAGGTACGGATTTGAAGAAAAAAAAACATTTAAACTCCCAAAAACATTGTATTTTGTAACAAATTATTTGCACCGTCTATTTTTAATATTTTAAAATGCTTATATATCTGTTTGATATGTACTATTTTTTATATTTTAAACCCCATAATTAAATATGAAAATAGATTTTTAAACCATCGTATCATCTCCGAGCATAGTCAAGAGGCGCCCCATGTTTCTCCGGTACAAAGAGTGCATCTTGTACAAACATCACCCAAATTTCGTATTAAAACAAGAGTTTTGGACTTTCCACGTGTTTGTTGTAGGGTGGCAATGGATCGGAGTGGGACCTTGACTAAAAAATATAATGTGGGACCCAACCCGACTCTGACTAGACCCGATCAAAAAATTAAAATATTATTGAACCCAAACCCAAATTCAAATAGTATTCCCACCTAACTCAATTTTTGCACCCATACCCAAAAACTCATACAGGTCAGGTCCATTGCCACCCCTAATTTCTTAGTCGTGTGGCCTTTTTTTTTTTTTCACTCGTATCCTTTTCTAAATATTTTTTTTCCCCTTTTAAGTCATCACGGTTAGATTGAGTTTACATAGATGCTTGGGGGCATTTTGCATTTTCCAAAAACTTTAAATATGGAAGTCTCGGGCCGTTCTCTGAAATCAGCGACTCGATTCGTCATCTCCTCCTGGCGTTACTTTAAAACGGACCAGAGAGAGAAAGCAACTATCTAACACCAGCTCAAAAATAGGACATTTTCTCTCTCTATAATTGTGCTCTCTCTCTCTCTCTCTCTGCAAGATTTAACCTTCATCACTCTCTTTCTCTGTCAACGTTTAACTTTCACGACTCTCTCTCTCTCTGTCAAGGTTTAACCTTCATCACTCTCTCTCTCTCTGTCAAGGTTTAACCTTCATCACTCTCTCTCTAAACTCTGCAACTACCTCGTGCTAGCTGCCATCCCAATTTTCTGTAGTATAGAGAAACCCTAATATGTGCGATTAAAAGTAACATTATAACATGCCAATTCCATGATAACCAAAGGAAGGGGGCTCTAGTTCTCAGCCTTCTCTGTCCAAGGTAAGTAACTAGAAGTCCATGCCCTTTAGCAAATTATTTATCTCTCTGGTTCAAAAATTGGTTTAATTTGCTGCTTTTTCTTTTTTCTTTTTGACAGATTTAGTTCACAGATTGAAAGATGCTATCTGAAAGTTCTGATTTAGAACAACCGAGAGATGGGAAATCAAATGTAACGTTTTTTTATTTTTTGTTTTTTATAGTGGAAATATCCTTTTGTTTTGCTTCTTGGTTTTTCATTTTTAAGTATTAAGTTACTTAATTTTAATTGGTTCGTATTCTTTTTTATTGTGTTTGTTTGATTTTATGAGCTGCTCATTTTCTTTTTTCCAGTAATTATGCTTTTCCTTTTTTTTCTCTGTTTTTTGCTTCTGGTATAAAACACGTGGAATTGGTGGATTCACTTGAAGAGCATGTTAAAGGTTGCTTTTCCATTCGTTGGGGGATTGCTTTACCATTGACAATTGGGTTCTTATTGTACACTAATTTCATTTATGTTTGGACTTATTATCTATATGAAGAAAAAAGAACATTTGCTGTCTTGAATTTGTTTGTCCTATTATGTTTTGTGATACATTTTTTTATTGTCTATAATCAGGTTCTTATATGTTTGGGCTTTCATTTTTGTATTTTTTTATTTTTAGTTTGGATTCGCAAAAAATATTAATTAAATAATTGGCTTGTTTTTTTCTTTCTTCTTAGTCTTCGGTCTTCATGTATTCAGTCAGTAAGTCCTGTTTATACTAACCCATACATAATGTAAGTAGTTCTTTAGCTTTTTTTCTTTTTTATTTTTTACCTCAGTGGTGGATAGCTCATTTGCCTTTATGATTGTCATATCAAACGATATTCTTATTGTTGCTCGAGCTTCGATTACATTTTCTTTGGAAACTTGAAGTAAATAATGAAATTTTGCTATTGGTTAGTTTTACAGTAGCGAATGATAGTATTGGTTAGTTCTCTGCTTTTTAATTTACTCTGCTTTGAGCAAGAGAGTTGTTCTTGCCGAAAGTTTTCTTCTTTTGCTAGCTTTAAGTTGGACTTTGAGAGTAACTAGGGACCTTTGTTTTGGTTATATGAAGAGTAACTGTTTAGGTGGTTTCCTTTACAGTGTGTGAATTTGTTTTTGTTGCAGGGTGTTACAGTTTCTTCACCTAGTGAAGATGACAGTGCTAGAGAACCCCTTGTTCCTGTCACTGCTTCGGTTGAAGCCTACTCTGTTGCAGCAACAATTCTTCCGTAAGTTATCTTCTTGGGTCACTCATAATACTGTTTCTTCTTTCCATCCAAGGTTTAAATAAATGGCAGTTGCATGAAAATAACAGGCATCCTGATACTTATAGATCCCGCACCATTACTATTGCACCCATTACAATATATAAAAGTGGGAATAAAAACAGTCTGTATCATATTACAGCCAAGTGCTGCTTCATTTAAGGAACAGCTGTCATGCGCCAGTTTAGCACACATGATATTGGATTTCCTATCATTAAGTAATGGCAAAAAAACTAAAATAGTGGCTGTTATGTTCAAAATAATGGAAATATATGTCATTATCATGGAAAAATAAAATGTAAAATAGTATATCTTCAAATATTTCTTCATATTTTATCATTTTCCCTGGTATTTTCCTCTCTTCCCATTATATTCCCTTTTTTCTAGTTTTAACTCTATTTTTTCCTTTTTTTCGGTTGAACACTGATTATACTGATATAGCACAATCGTTAGAATTATAAAATTGAAAATGGACCAGTCCTATTGCATTCCATTTCACTTTTTTTCAAGTGTTGCTTCAATCCCTCTATCTACTACTATTTCAAAATTGATGGCTGGTGCTAATTATGCTTCATCGAATGCATTCTTGTAAAAGTACCATTTCTTGGCTTTCTCCTTTCCGCTATCAATCATTTGGTGGTGGAGATGGGCAGCCTCAAGGGGATCCCCTGTATCGCACCACATGCTTGCATCGTAAAAGAAAATGCCATTAATTGGTTTGTGTACTTCTACATCGTCTAGGGTTATGGCTATGCCTACCGTTGCTATTCCCTATACTAGGTTGTGAATTAATTACGACTAGCTATTCACACGTGTGTTGCAAAATGTCATAGTTGAGGAACTAGATGAAATCTGATTTCCAAAATATTTGTTCCAAATGAATGGTTAATATATTAAGTAGTACTCTTTTAGTTTTAATCTTTCTCCATAATTATTGAATTTCTCATATTTAAATTTATTGTTTTCTTTTTTAATTTTTTTTGTTAATTTTCAATCATTTTCTAACTTCTTTGTAATGTAGATATCTATTTCGTTAAGAAAAATGTTTCTCATTAATTTTAATGAAATTTTTTATTTTGGTATGAATTATTTTCCTCATACATGGCATACAGTTATTCTCTAAATATTTTTAAGCTTTCATGTTTTTCTTATCTCGTTCCTATTTCCTCTCTCTAGTTTATTATTATTAGAAACTAAATTTAGATAATAAATAAATGAGCCCAGTTTTAAAGTGGCTTGACTAACTGATGTTAGATTTAGATAATGCAATGAGAGTTTTTCAAAGAATATGCTTATAAAACAAGTCTATGTAAAAAAAGAAAAAGAATAGCATATTTAATTGGGTTTTTAGAGAGAGATAATTTGAGAAATTGGAGGGAATGGCTATGCAACTTAATTTTAAAGTCCGTGCTTCCAACATAGTTGGTTTCTGTAAGTCATTGTTAATATGCAGAACTTTTATCAAAAAATAAAAAACCGTAGAATTTGTTGCCCGAATTTTTGTTTGTATTTTTTGTTTAGGTTCTTCGTATAATCTTATTAATTGGTGCAGATAATGTACTATTGCATTGTTTTATTTGAAATTACTAATAATTTCATAAACTGCATAATTGTTTAGGTTTTTATTTCCAGCTTTAGGAGGACTCCTCTATGGCTATGATATTGGTGCAACATCTGGTGCTTCCATTTCTTTAGAGGTGTGTGTTATTTACCCTATGATTGTCTTTTAAATTGGAGGATCTTTACAAACATAAGATAAATACACAGCTGAGTGATAACAGCCTTAAGGATAGATCCGGAAAGATACAATTTACTTAGGTAACCTAAGTTTTGGATTTGGATGAGCAGCTTTGAAATATATTGAGGTTTATTGATGTGTTTTCCTGTCTCCTATTCTGAAACCTTCCTTTTCTTGGCAGTCTCCTGAGTTAAGTGGCACCTCATGGTATGATTTGAATTCATTCGAAGTTGGGCTTGTGGTAAGTTTATATCCATGTCAAGACTCTGAACATTCAAGACTCTGAACATATAACTTACTAAACAGCACTTGCTTGATACATAGAGATTGCGACCTTCTTATCTGGTAGTTATGTGTGTCCCCACATGTGTATTTCGTTCATGTGTTATGATCGCAAAATGTATATTTTTATGCACCCATTCATGTAAGTTTATGAATATTTTTATTTTTCTCTGTTAAAGTGCTCATATCTTATGTAGGTCAGTGGTTCGCTGTATGGGGCATTGATTGGATCCATTTTGGCATTCGGTGTTGAGAATTTCTTAGGTAGATTTCCTGTATTATTTTCACACTAAGTAGTGTAACTAGCTCATGATTTAGGGATGCTAAGGCAACAATGTTTTAATGAAGGAAGGCGGAGGGAATTACTTGTGTCTTCTATGCTATATCTTGTTGGAGCTCTTGTAACAGCCTTAGCGCCTGATTTTCCAGTTTTGGTGGTTGGGCGTCTTGTATATGGTTTGGGAATTGGAATGGTACTGCACTAATTCCCCTTATTTTCTCATCTTTTTGGTAATTCTTGGTATCTACTCTGTGTGTACTCTCCGACTCAAGTGACTTACTAGTTGTCACTCTGAGAATGGATTGATATTTACCTTGTTTGGAATTTCGAATATGGAAAACATTTTAGGGCTTGAACCTCTTGACATAGTGGTTGTTTTGTGTGGGTCGCACCACTATGATCTTGAGTTTGAATCCCAACACTGTCCACATGGGATAAGATGGGGAAGGAAAACCCTTTTGTTGTTTCAACTGCATACTTAGTTTCGCACATAATCTACTAAATTTTATCCTTTCGTGGTCTGGAATTTTTTACAGGCCATGCATGCAGCTCCAATGTACATCTCAGAGACAGCTCCTTCTCAAATACGTGGAAGACTGATATCTCTTAAAGAGTTTTTCATTGTTTTGGGGATGGTTGTAAGTGTTGAAGCATCTCACTAGACACTTTTAGTTTGTAAATATTTCTTTTATGGCTCACTTTTGATTTATTTCTTGAAATGCCATAGTTACAAATGCATTTCATCTCTCATACAGCTAGGATACACAGTTGGTAGTCTCGAGGTTGACATAGTTTCTGGATGGAGGTATATGTATGGAACCAGCTGTCCAATATCAATCATAATGGGAGTTGGAATGTGGTGGTTGCCACCATCTCCGCGATGGCTGCTACTTTGTGCTGTACAAGGAAGGGGATCCTTCCAAGACATAAAAGAGAGGGCAACATATGCCTTATGCCGATTAAGGGGTCGAATTGATGACAACTCAACTTCAGAGAAAATCGATGAGCTTTTCGATGAGATCTCTAATTCCAGTGAGGAGCAAGAAGCATCTATAGGAGAGATTTTCCAAGGAAAGTGTTTAAAAGCCCTTGTTATCGGTGCAGGCCTGGTTTTCCTTCAGCAGGTAAAGTTCTGCAGCCACTTTGATCACAATGGTATAGTTTTTTGGGTTATTTTGTTTAATTTAGTTTTAACGAATTGTTTTTTAACATTTTTATTAAGTGCGCTTCGATGAGAAGAATGGACGCCTAAAATTTCAAATGATTTGGATTTCTAGAAAAAAATTAAAATTAAAATACAAAATGAGGTCGTGATCATCAGATCGGCCCAAATTCAATCTGGGCCGTTGGGCTCATATGTAGTTGTGAACTAGTGGGATAACCCCAGCCTTTTCTTATATATATATATATATAGAGAGAGAGAGAGAGCACTATGAGTAGCTGTGTGCTTGAGAGAGAGAGAGAGAGCACGATGAGTAGCTGTGTAGCACATTCATTTGTGGGTGTGATGTAGGAGATAAGAGGCATGAGTTTTGAAGAGCCTATCGTCATTCTCTTGAAAACGGGTTCCTATGGCCATGGCCATGGCCAAAGCCATTGAGAAATGAAGAAACTCTCTTGGTGGGTTGCTAAGTAAACAACAAACAAGTGGGTCCGCTAGATTGGTCAAAATGTTGACAACTGCTTCTCAATCTCGACCTACTTATCCTTTGTTTGCATGCAGATCACAGGTCAACCAAGTGTTTTGTACTATGCGGCAACAATTTTTCAGGTATATGTTATTCTATATTTATTCATATTGTGGAGGTTGCAATCAGATGATAATTTGATCTTATTTAAATTTTGTTGGCCAGAGTGTGGGTTTCTCTGCAGCTTCTGATGCAACTCGGGTTTCAATTCTTCTTGGCATACTAAAGGTTATTACTTGCTCCAGAAAAATTACTCATCACAAAAAATACTCTGGGGTTGTAGTGTATTGAATGCTAATGGCATTTGCTTGCTAGCTAGCTAATAGTTATCCATTATGTAATTAAATAGTTGCTTTGTGCTTTTACATGTGATAGCATGTATAGAGAGAGACATGATAAGGATAGTTCTTGAAATGTGCTTGATAGTAACTTGCAGTGATGCTGATAAGATTGCCACACAGCTTATCCATTGATGGAATTATCAATTGCCTCTGGCATCTGTTCATTTGCCACACTAACGAGAAACATTTATTTGAGGAAGATTAGTCAGTATTCTCAGAGATGTTTCATTTGAATATGATTTTTCTATAATTGCTCGGATGGTTCAAGGAAGCCACATCTTTTCCATTTTGCTTTTGACTTGCAATATGCATTCTTTGGACTCAGCACTGATTGTCTTTTCATTTAACGCACCATCCCCTAAGGGGGGGGGGAAATTCCCATATTTGCCAATTGTTTTGTTCCTTTAGCATGTACTGTAAAAATAAGAAATACGAAAATTTTCAAAGTCTCCTAATCTGGGAGGAATATATGTAAAGGTGTGGTTTGTATAAGGCCGAGGCCCTAAACAATCAAAGTAAGGTGCACCTTCAAATAATGTCCACGGATGTTGTTGCAGTACTAGAAATAATTGTGATGGCCTGAAAATTTATTTTCATCTCTAGAGAACTTTACTAAAAAAAAATTTATTTTCATCTCTAATTATAAAATTTAAAGCTTTAAAAATAGTGAAGATCAAGCAGATCTATGAATGCTTAAAAATCTTGAAAGTTGACGGTCCAGAAAATACATTACAAGATGCACAATTTCCAAGACTTGAAATCCATTTTTTTCATGTTTGTACATCTCGAGGTCGAGACGATTGCTTTGAGGATTTTTGAACATCGAAACAACCTCTTTTAGTGAATTTTTGAGGTGCGCCTTGATTAGATTGTATAGGGTCTCACCCTTATATAAACTTTTTCCATATGAAAATTTTCTGACTTCAGTTTTTTACTGGGAGGTGTCCCTATAGAGCAAAGTAACCGTCTTCAAAAGAGGCAAAAGGACGCTCTTATGATTCAGGAGCGCTTAAAGAGTGCATCTTCTCACTTGGCCAATGGTTAGGGTACCTTTGGAATAAGACTGATGTTACTTAGAGGTTCCATTTTAGTAATAAACTACCTCTGCATTCTAGGTTTCCTCTTTGGTTTAAATTTCAGTTTAGGGCTTCTCATACTTATTCATTTTCATGGTTCATGTTACAAGCACCAATATGGTTGTGTTACTTTTTTTTTGATAGATCCAAGAAGTACACTTTCCTGGTTGGTTCTCTTTCCATGGTCCATGCAATAGAATTTTGCTTATCAGTGAACAAAGTTTTCTTAGTACATACACTTTCCTCATTATGTCAGTGTATCGATTCTACATTGTGAAGGTCTCATTTGGTTTCTGTTTTTATAGTTAATAACAACTGGAGTTGCTGTCATTGTGGTCGACAGAGTTGGTAGGCGGCCTTTATTATTAGGGGGAGTTAGTGGCATTGTAAGTTATTCATCTCCTGTTTCTAAAAACATTATATATTTGGTGTAGCTTATAGTAACAAATATCTTCATCTTCTTAATGTCCTCTGAAGATATTGTGGATTTTGTAAAAGATCTATTTTTTTCTATTGATATCCTCCTCCTCTTTTCGAAATGTATAGTTCTCTTTTTGATTATAAGTTTTCCTCCGTCTTTTTTGAAAATGTATACTTCTTTGTCATCATTGTGAGATCTCCTCCCTCTCTTTTTGAGAAAATATATTATTGATTTTACGAGAAAAATAAAATGTACATTTGTAAAAATTTCTTACAAAAAATAAGAGTCTGTAAGGTCTTGAATTTAAAAAATTTGCAGACAAAATGCATTTGTTATTTTATTTTTTGTCTTTTTTTTTTTTTAATATTTGATGTCCATATAAGAAACCTTCAAGAAATCCTAAGAAATCCAAATTTTGAAATTCTCTCAAGTAATGCTGAGAAATTTTTTGGAACAATGTGTTTGAAGATTTTTTTTTTCCTCTGCAATTTGTGGAAACATATTCAAGGGACATTACATTGTTATCATTAACCATGCTGATACTATTAGGGTTCTACTTGCTGCAGAATTGTAGCTAATTTTGTTTGGTATTGCCTTATTTTGGCTTTTTATTATTGAACAAAGTTGAAACTTCTATTTTTATGGGATGCAGGTGATTGCCCTATTCTTATTGGCTGCATACTACACTTTCCTGAGCAGTTTACCAGTTGTAGCTGTAGTTGCATTATTGTTGTATGTTGGGTGTTACCAGGTATGAAATCATAGTTGCTGCTTGAGTCTAATATCACTCGGAGCTAATGTGATTGATATTTAGGAAATTGATTAATATTTTTCTTCTTTGTTCTTTAATAAGTTATCCTTTCACTTACAATTAGATTTCGGTATTTTCTGCTAAAATTTTTTCAGGACAAAGCTTGATAAAACTATCTATTTTTCTGTCTTTTTTCTTTTTAATGGATCACTTATTAAAGTCCAGGTAAATTTGTTTATGATGTTTTGTCATGAATTAAAGCTGGTTGCATTTGTTGCATGTATGAAAGTGGCTTATAGTTATTTAGCTGACAAGGAACTATATTGCAGCTGTCATTTGGTCCCATTGGGTGGCTCATGATTTCAGAGATTTTCCCTTTGCGTTTTCGAGGGAAGGGACTAAGCATAGCTGTACTTGTGAATTTTGCTTCAAATGCACTGGTCGCATTTGCTTTCTCACCACTAAAGGTAAAAGCACGTCTGATGTTCACCTACCAAACTATCAAGTTCTTATTCTTGTTTCCTGGGCCACCTGCATGGTGTGGCCCTAGTCTAGTTTTGGCTTTGGCATTACGTTGTTGGGTGGGAGGAGCAACGGCTAGTTTTTTGTTTTTTTTGTGTGTGTGGGGGTGGGGGGGGGGGGTAGAGAATTGTAAGAGATATGTGTGTTTGTGTGGGAGATAATTGTTAGGGCTGTGTGTATGCCTGGCTGGGTGTGTGTGAGAGAGAATTGTTAAATATCTATTGAGAGAGACTGTTGGGTTGCTAAGGTTTCATTCTTACATACAAACAGAGAGAGAGAGAGAGAGAGAGAGAGATACTACATATTTAACACACTTTCAGAGAGTTGTATTCACTACATACTTATTATGACATGCAGGCCCTGTTGGGAGCTGGACTTCTATTTGCTGCATTTGGGGTGATTGCAATACTTGCTCTGCTCTTTATCTTCTTCTATGTGCCAGAAACAAAAGGTCTCAGCTTGGAGGAAATTGAGTCAAAGATCCTTTAAAAGACAGTTCCTCTTCATACGTATACTGGCTTTTGTGAGTGGAGGGAGAGAGAGAGAGAGAGAGAGAGGTGGTTGGATAGGAGATGTATTTCAATATTTGATATGTAGGCAACTAATAGCATTGTCTTCAGTTTGTGAAGATGCAGTTTAAAAATCCCTATTGTTTATATGTACTCGAAATCGTTCGTACTTTCTTGCATGTCATTGTCACTTAGACATGTTCAGTATTTAGAATAAATACAGTGATTGAATTTTGATCGAGATTTAAATCTTCACAACTCGAAGGCCACGAGTCTTTGGGTTTACAGGATTTGTCTCCATGAGGGAGCTTGTATATTGTAATTTGCTTTGTACAGAGTCAGTCTTATTTTGTTTTAGGGCGTGGTTTGTATAAGGTTGCAATCGTAAACAATCAAATTAAGGCACACTTCCAAATTCTATTATACATGTAAGTTTAGTATAATTTTCTTTTTTAGGATGGCTTGAGAATCTATTTTCATCTCTAATTATAAAATCTTGACTCCAAAAGTGGTTCAAGTCAAGTAGATCTATAAACACTTTAAACTCTTGAAAATGAATGGTCCAGATAATATGTTGCAAGATGCACTATTTTTACGATTTGAAATCTTTTCATATTCATAATCACTATGTCAAGATGATCAATTTTTCCAACATCAAAACAATCTTTTGTGATGGATTTTTTATATGCATCTTAATTTTACATTTTAGGGTTGCAACCTTATATAAACTTTTTTTCATTTCTTAACGGTGACTCATGCAATGAAGTTAAAATAAATGGATGGAGCAAGGTCAGCCATATAATGAATTGTTCATTATGAGTTAGCAAGATAATGTGTCACATAAAAGTATGTTAAAAATATGTATTTTTGTTATAAGGAAGTCACAGTCATTTAAATTGTTAAAAGTTAAATCCAATAATTTTTGATGTACTATGAAGTTAAAAAAAAATTATTTGAATTTTGAACTTTAAGCTTCGTCAACGATAGACCAATCCAATAATCAAAAGTGATTAGGACTTTTGTGTATCTCATATAGATGGTCTTATTATACATTTTTCATAAGATGCCTCTTATCTTCTTCTTTCTCAAATAGAAAAAATATTTATTAGGTTAAGGCTCTAAACAACCAAACAAGGGGGCACCTGAAAAAATACTAGAAAAAGTTATTTTTGATGCCGAAAGGCCCTCAAATCAATCATCTCAACCTTGAGATTACATTGACGTAAAAACAAATGGACTTCAAGTCTTGAAAATAGTGTATCTAGTAAATACATTATTTAGGTTGCCAAATTTCAAGATTTTGAAATATTTGTAGATCTGCTTGATCTACGCTATTTTTAAAACTTTAAATCTTAGATGAAAATATTTTCATGCCATTATAAGGATTTTTGGTACCGAAACAGTAACTTTCGATATTATTAAAAAGTACGCTTTACTTTGATTGTTTAGGGATTTAAACCTACACTGCTAAAATGGCACAGAATTCCATATGAGTTGGGAGGAAGACATTCCAACCTTAAGGCGTGGGAGAGTTTGGTAATTTTCAACGTTCCTGTTGAAAAAAATGAACTCAAAATTTGGAAAAAATAATATGATTCATGTATCGTGTATGCTCAAGATAATAACAAGACCAGTGGTTTATCATCATCATTATTCAAATTAGTTGGTGATAGATAGACAGCACATATTATGTTGTCTGATGCCTCTGATGGTATCCACTCCTCCATCACCATTATTGCAACGATGAAAACTGTGTGTTCATGCTCATTTGCGAGGACTATTTGGATCATTATATGGTCACTTTATATGGACCAATTGTTTTGTGGAAAATATGTGCATTCACCCAAATAATCTCCCTAGTATGGGTAGCAATTAGGTTTGGTCGACTTGCCGACCCAACGGATCGACTTGAATTGGGTCCGGGTTGACCCGATCCCCGCCGGCCTGGTATAAAATATAAATATATACATTAAATAGTATATAAAATAATGTTTATCTTTTCATTTCTAGACATAGGTATAGGTATGATCTGGGTCCAAATGATTTGGACCACGATTTGAGGGAACCTAGTTGGGGTTGACCTGAACCTCAAGTCGTTGCCACCCCAAAACCCTAGTATATGGAAAGCCTGCAAACCCATCCAAGTTAAGAAGAAAGAATGTTTAATCCCCTCAACATATTTTTTATTGTTCAAATTATAGTATTTATCTTTTCTATTTTCTTCAAACCCATCCCAGATAAGAATAAAGAATGTTTAATCCCCTTTACATATTTTTCATTATTCAAATTATAGTATTTATCTTTTATATTTTCTTTAATGATGCCTTCATTGAAATCCTATATAAACTTTTCTTTTTTTTTATAGAAGTTCAAAGATCTTATTAAAAGGTTAAAGGGGTTACAGGAAAATTACGGAAGTACAATATCAGAAATCACTAAGTTGGTTAGGGATGTGTCATTCCTCGCAAGAGCATATGCCAAAACATTGGCCTCTCGAGCCACATGAGCAAAAGAAAAAGAAAAGAAAAGAGAGAAATCCAAAACTTGAAGCAAAAAGGAACGCAGTTCCTAAGGAACCTTCTTCTCCTTCTTACAGCAATTGATGACATTTAAAGAATCCCCTTCCACAATAATAGTCCCGATGTGTTTTCCAGTGAAGAGCTTAAAACCCTGAAGAAGAACAAAGAACTCAGCATAATTTGCAGATTTCTCCCCTAAAGGACCTGCATAAGTGAACAGAATTTTACCTTCCCAATCCCTCACAACATCTCCAAAACCCGTCGAGCCCGGATTTTTTAAGGAACTACCATCAAAATTCAACTTAAAAGTTCCCCTAGGAGGCGTAGACCACAAACTTCTTGATCTTCGGTTGCGGACCCCCAAATGTAGGAGGTTAAAAAAATTACACTTCACATCAGATTCAACAATATCTTTCCCCAATTTCGAGATCGATAAATACATCTATATAGCATGAAGAATTTTATCTAAGATTCTATCAGGAGGCAAACAAATCCCATAAAAAACTCTACTATTTCTTTCTTTCCAAATTTCCCAGATAACGACACCCCTCGCAATCTGCCAAATAACCAAAGCAGTACGTGACAAATTTGGAATTGATAATGCTCCAAGAACCCCATAAACATCAGCAGGTAACACCAGAGCCACACCAATCTTACCAAAAATCTAACGCCCGTTATCAAAGGTAAAAGGGCAATGGAGAAACAAATGGGGACCTGTTTGACCATTACCCTTATATAGAAGACAAATATTTAACAAAATCTTACCTCTTTTGATGAGGTTATCAGTAGTTAATATCCTATCTTGTACTGCCAACCAAAGGAAAACCTGGATTTTAAGCGGAACATGCCACTTCTAGATATTTGCAATTTCTGGCCTTTCATGGAAGAGAAGATGATACATCGATCTAACTGAGAACTCCCCATCTTTCGCTAAGTCCCAAACCACCTCATCATTCGCGTTTTGTGGGATATAAACATCGTTTAAATCATTAAGAAGTTCAGATAATTGAGTGAAGGTATAATCAAGAACCCTATTATAAAGGAGATTAATCTGCCATTCCACCATGTCCCCCCCTAAAAACCAATAAGTCACGGATATTCGCATTTGGTTTTTCTACACGTTAGAAAACTAGAGAAAATACAGCTTTCAAGGGAGAGTCATCAAGCCACTTATGATGCCAAAAGGAAATACTACTACCATTCCCCAAAGACCATCGAATGTCCCTATGGATTAAGGATTTATAATAAGTAATTGCTTTCCAACAGGGTTGGTGAAATTCTTCTATTATTACCTCTACCTCCAACCCACATCTGGAATCTATCCTCCACATATTTTGCCATAATAACTTTGTACCATTGCAGATCTTTAAACTTAAGTCTCATCTACCACCACTTGCATAAGAGAGCCTTGTTGACCAACTTGATTTTCCTTAAACCCAAACTGCCTTCCTTTCTAGGTATGCAAACCATATCCCATTGAAGGAGATGGAATTTTTTGGAGTCACCCACAGAGTCCTAAAGAAAATTACTCATAAGCAACTCAATTTTACGAGCTATCGATGCTGGAATATGTAAAAACGACATCTGATAGATAGGAAGGTTGGATAAACAAACTTTAATCAAAGTAATCTGTTCCCCCAAAGAAAGATATTTATATTTCCATAAATGAAGCTTCGTTTGAATCCTTTGAATGACCCAATCGCATATAGCCAAAGGCAATTGACCATCCGAGATAAGCAAACCAAGGTAAATTATAGGGAATTGTTCAACTCTAGACCCTAATACCTCTGCCAAATCCTTAACCAGTAATTCATCACAATTAATATCAATCACCCCTGCTTTCTGAAAATTGACTTTCATCTCCAAAGCCACTTCACAACAATTTAAAAGCAATGCAATATTGGAAACATGATCCACCCTAGCCTCACAGAATAGTAATGTATCATCTGCATATTGAAGGTGAGAGATGCATGGACTATTATTTGGCAACTGAAAGCCCACAAAATGTCCTCTAGACACAACATTGCGGATAAACATGCTAAAACACTCTACATAAATAGTAAAGAGGAATGGAGAAAGATGATCACCTTGTCGAATGCCCCTAGAAGCTTTAAAGAAGCCCGTTGGACTACCATTATATAAAACAGAGAAATGAGCCGAGAAGAGGCAACCAAAAATCCAGTTCTTCCATTTGTCCCCAAAACCCATATTTCTCATAATCTCTAAAAGCACACTCCATTCAACTCTATCGTATGCTTTTTCCATATCCAACTTAATCACCATACCAGGAATCCCATTTAAAACACGAGAATGAATACATTCCTGAGCTACCATAATGCTATTAGTGATCAGCCTATCTTTAATAAAGGCTGATTGAGGGCCAGAAATAATGTAAGGTAACACAGTCTTAAGACGCTCCACTGGCACCTTGGCTACAATCTTATAGAGACTTGCCAGAAGATTAATCGGTCTGATATCCCGCCTAAGCTAGCAATAACAGACTTTTTAGGAATAAGAGCAATAAACATGGAGTTCACACCTCTGAATAACTCACCTCTCAAACGAAAACTTTTAACCATCTCCAGCAGCTCGGTACTTACAAGATTCCAGAAAGTATAGAAAAAGATCAAAGGAAACCCATTTGGCCCAGGGGCCTTATCTCATGGTAAAGAAAACACCGCTCTTTTGAGTTCTTCCATGGAAACTTCCCCTTCCAAAAGAT